AAAAAAAAAAAAAAAAAGTTGATTGTTTATACGGTTGTGTCATCTTGTTTATTTATATTTTTATATATATTTATACTACATGTATAAACATTAAATGTATCTTAATTAGTAAAAAATAACTAAAGTACATTGAAATAAATTAACAAAAATTAATGCATCTAATTTGATGGAAGCTGTATTTCACTATGTATATAAAAATATTTTAGTATATTATCATAGAAAAATTAAATATAATTCAGATGTTTTTGGATCTATTTTTATGAATATTTCAGAAATTTTAGGTGATTTCAAACATTTTTCTAAAATAATAGAATATTTTAGATACTTTTACATGTGTTACATAATAATTTAGTTTTTTTAATATTTTAGATAGACATGTTTTTCTTGTTCTTTACTCAAGTTGCTTTTCGTATGAATTGGTAAATTGTATAATTGGTTAACCCATATCTTCAATTATAAATACTATTTAGTAGAAATTGGTAAATTTATCAACTCTGGTAGAATTAATTGTTATGATTATAAAAATTGATATGAATAAAGAAATTTATATTATTTAACTGAAAAGATTGAAAGTTACTGATTCTGTTGAAGTTCCACATGGCATACCTGTAGCATGAAAAAATCCATCAAATATGCCAAAGATCTCTTAGGAAATTTGTGTTATATTGCTTAGGAAATTTGTGTTCTATTGTCCAAAGATCTCTTAGGAAATTTGTGTTATATTGCTTAGGAAATTTGTGTTCTATTGTTTTGTTTCCATGGACTGAATTTCTTTTTTTTTTTTTCTTTTTTATTTCTATAATAGTTTTCCCTTCCAATTCCAAGCTTTTTCCCTTCTAAAATCCAAGCTATGGTCTCTTAGTGTTCTTCTATATTAAGGTTGTAAAATAAAAATAAATTTAAATGATGTTCCAGTATTCATAAAGCTATGTTCCAGTGTTCTCGTTAATAAAAATACATTCAAATTCAAGTTTGATGTTATAGGGTGATATAAAACCTAAGTTTTTGATAAAATAACAACTACAATTCATCATACTCCTCGTTAATAAAAATACATTCAAATTCAAGTTTGATGTTATAGGGTGATATAAAACCTAAGTTTTTGATAAAATAACAACTACAATTCATCATAACTAGTATGAGTCTCGTGCAGTGCATGTGTAAGAGATATTCACTAATTTTTTTAAATTAAAACTTCTTATTAAGTAATATTAATAAATTAAAAATATGGAATCAGAATGTACTACAAATACCTATTCTAATTTATTGAAATATTATATTTAAATATGTCTATTTGAAATTAGTACACAACCCGTATGCTGCACATAACTGATAATAAATCACATTATTATTGTTTCAAAATAAGTATCATTCAAAATTTTTATTCAGGAATTCGATTTGACTATAATGTGATTCCATAAAATAATTATTTTGATGAAATGTTATGATATATTTAACAACCTATGTGAATAATAAGTATAATATAAAATTTATAGCGTATCATTACTTAAAATAATCTATTTTTGTATAAATTATTCAAATAAAAAAATTAAGTAGTTGAGTAATATATTAAAAATATAAATAATTTGACTATTTCGTTTACGTCTAAGTAAATATTGACCCGTAAGTTATTGAGTAATTCATTAAATTATAACTAATTGACTTTTTTTTACGTCCAAGTTAAAATTGACCCGAAAAGTTATTCATAAATTAATTTTTTTTAGTTTGAAATAAAAATATTTTTAGTTATTTTCGATATATTATATACCACATTTAAACCAAGCAATTAGTAAAGGTAATAACTGCAAGATTTGTCAATATATTATATTCTAAAATTAAAATCATGCAACTAATAAAGGTAATAAACGAAATATTTGACCAAAATAATTTTGTATATTAATTATATTAATTTAGGCGGAATTTTTTAAATTTTGGCAAAAAATATTACTCAATATAGTAAATACCTTAGGCAGGAAATCAAATGTTTTTTTTTTTGCTGATTTTTTATTGTTATTTCAAATAAATATCGTTGTCTCTTTATATAATAATAGATGCTGAGATAAATTTACCTAAATTATATATTTTGAATAAATTTATATATCTTTACACTCAAATGTCATACTTTTAGTTTTAAGTACATTATTCAAAATATTATATTGAAAATATTTACATTTCATGAGATAAATATGGATTTAGTTAAAAAGTATAATTATCTAAATAACCAATATTACTATAAGGATGCCTCTTTGAATGGGCTTTTTAACCTAATGGTTGCATGTTCACGTCCTGCGCCAAAATATTACAACTAAAAATATATATATATATATATATATTTATACATATATATGTATATATAAATATATCAAAATATTATTAAACAAGCTAACAGTAATATAGCCTGTGATATAATTTACTACTTGAAATTGTAATAAATTTTATAATAGCTGTACTATTTCTACCTTATAACAACCTAGTAAGAAAGAGATAAAAACATTTTACTATTTTTAAACTACTCATTTATATATATATAAATAAACTAGTACAACGCCGTGTATTACACGAGTGTTTGCTAATTTTTTTTTTTTTAAATCTAAAATTAATGAGAAAAATTAATTGAAAATTTAAATACCTTTATAAAAATATATATATTATTATATATTTAGTATGACACTTTTTTATTTGTGCGACTTACTTGTGTTATATTATAATAATTTTGTAACTTACGACATATAACTAAATTAAACATAAATATAGCAATTGAAAAATAATTTTGTTTTTCTAATGAATTTTAATAAACATTATTATTTTTTATTATTATAAAGATAAATATAATTTATTTATTTCATATATACAATATGGATGTCAAATCGAAGATCATCAAAAGATGATTAATTTGATATATTATATATGTATAACCGATAAGAAATACAAAATTTATCAACTTTTAAAATACATTTACAATTAAATAACTAATTGAAGGAAACAAATCAAAAGTCAGAGATATATTAGTCACTTAATGTCTCACTATGTAAAATTACAAATAATTAAAGGGTTATATTAGTACAAGTGATACTAAAATACCTAAGTTAGCTATTTAATATTTATGGAATGTCCGAACCTAGATTATTAATTATTAATATATCAATATTATTTGTCCAAACCTAATTACGAAGCATGATTGTTGTCGTATGATTCTTAACAACGATTTAAGGTGGAGTTTATGAGATAATTTCAAGTGGTTTGAACGTAAATCATGCAAGAAAAACTCAACAATGGCCCCAGTCCGAGATGAACCGAGGTGAAAAGCCTTTATGGGCGGTTTCGCGTTTCATTGTTGAAATGTTAGGTTCCGAAATCGGGATCCCCTTACAGGTATCATTGGGTCATTATTTATAGTAACCTTTTTGATATATACATTGGGATTCGTGTATTATTTTCAGCATAAAGTAACTTTTGGTGGACGGTTGAAGCAGTGGGTCCCACATGAATGATGACAAATCTCGTAGATCGTAATAGGGGTGTGTAGGCGCCTCGTCACCTGCTTTAGGAGGTGACGACCTCGGTTTATGTTGACCTCGGTTTGGGATGACTTCGGCGGAGGATGAGTCATTTCGGTCTTCTTGAGTCGTATCGGTCTATTGTGCGAACCGGGATGACTTTAGGCTATGGTAATGTCTGAATCAAATTCGCTTATGGTGCTGTTGTGGGCCTTTAATTATGATTTACCGAATCGGATGATAATAATGATTCTTTGTCAAGTAGGATTCCAAAGCACGAGAAGCAGCCATGTAGGCTTAGCGCATTTGGGAATAATATATAGGGAGGAGATTTGGCCAGATGAATATACTTATAATTCCTCTACATTGTGTTTAAAGAAAATTTGCAAGTTTTATGCTATTTGTTGTCAGCTTTCAAATTTCACTAGTATTCAACCATGTGCATTTGCACAAATATAAATAGAGTATTGTGAGTTATTTGTATGCATATAGTGATTAATTATTTTTCTTTCACTTTTTTGCATGCCAAATTTACAAATAAAGAAGTTGGAATATTTTATTTTTTAAAAAATTGCGTTTATCTGATTGGATGTAATGTATATTTTGGTACGTCTTTTTTTGAATTATTTATCATTTATTTAGGAATTTCAAATACGTTTTAATTAAAAAAATAATTTAAATGTAATCACAATAATAACATCTAATCACATTATACGATCAACACATTATATGGTCAACTGTCACTAATAAAAAGCTTAAAATAATTTTTGTAATTTTGAAGTAATTAGTATTGATTATTTAATAATTAAATGAAAGATTAAATACTTAAAAAAATAACGTTTT